TAGGACAGAGTCAAACTTCCCCATATGGTTTTCTAGGCTGTTATTTTTTTTAAATCATTTTATTGGGGGCTCATACAACTCTTATCACAATTCATACATCCATCCATTGTGTCAAGTATATTTGTACATTTGTTGCCATCATCATGCTCAAAACATTTGCTTTCTACTTGAGCCCTTGGTATCAGCTCCTCATTTTCCCCCTCCCTCTCTGCTCCCCTGCCCTCGAACCCTTGATGGTTTATAAATTATTAGTATTTTGTATAAAAATGGAACGCTTCACGAATTTGCGTGTCATCCTTGCGCAGGGGCCATGCTAATCTTCTCTATCGTTCCAATTTTAGTATACGTGCTACCGAAGCGGTTTTTTATTTTATTTATTTATTTATTTATTTTGAAGCGTTTTTTTTAAAAACATTCTAAAGAGAACCTAAAACCAAACTCACTGCTGTCCTTCAAGTTCATTTTGATTCGTAGCAGCCCCATCGGGCAGGGTAGAACGGTCCCTGCGGGTTTCATGACTTTACAGGAGTAGAAAGTAGAAAGCCTTGTCTGTTCCCCTGAAGAGATGCGACAAGACTAAGAACTTGTCTACAGCCGCCCATGATCTCAGAGACATGTTGAGACATGTTTGTTTGGACTGAACCTCTGCATGTATGAACTGGCCCTCCTCTTTATGTAATCTTACAACCACCGAAGAGAGCAGTGCCATTACTATTCCCAGTTCATAGACTATTGTTCAGGTTAAATAACTTGCCCAAGGTTGGCCACAAACCTAAACCGTCAACGCCCGATTCCAGAGCCCTGTGCTTAAACCACTGCCCTATCTTACTTGCCTCTCAGCAGGAAGGACTTCCTCTGGAAGCCCCTCCCTGAATTCCAGGAGCTTTCCCCCAGGTGATTCACTCACACTAAAGCAGGCCAGCAGCTCCATCTTGCTCACTCCGGAGTCCGGGCTCACAGGAGGGTCCAGGCCCAGTGAGGTCTGGGGCTCCTCCTGCTCCAGGTACTCCCCGACGGTCCGCAGAATACTCCGCCGGCCCTCTGGGCGGAAGGCATCCCAGAAGGAACAGTTGTCTGGGAGACTGGAGAGCAGCAAGGCCTGGCCCAGCATCCCCTGCGCCTCGGCCCCTCCAGCCCCTGGACCCAGGAGGAAGGTCAGCAGACGAAGGAGATAGTGTAGGCGTGTGGCGTGGGCAAGGGCTGGCACAGAAGACTGACAGCGGGGCAACTGGGATAGCAAGCCGAGCAGGAAGGGCCCTGGAGCCAGGCAGAGTGGAGATGGTCCCAGCGGGGGCAGGGAGGGCAAAAGGGGGCCCAGGAGGCCATCCAGGAAACAAGTGTCGTTGCCTCCACGACTGATTCTGCACTGGCCTGCGAGCCAAGGCCAGAAGGGGACGAGGGCCTCATACATAGTGTCATTGGCACAGACCATCACCAGGAAGCTGCCCCCATCTGGGCAGCGCTCCCCACAGGGGCCTGTGCGGCACGGTGGGAAGTCAGTGATGTCCGGCGTGGGGCCCTGGCACACATGGTGAACCCAAGCCTGGTTGCTGGGGGGCACAGCTTGGAGACTTGTCTCCCCACACATCCGCTCAGCCCATAGAGTCTCGTTCTCCAAGAAGCAGGCCCAGAAGATGTCTGGGGTCAGGGGGACGGTGGGCAGGCCTTCAGGGCAGTTTGTGGGGGGCGGGAGTAGGCCAGCACAAAGCTGCTTTACCAGGCGGCGGTTAGGACCGGACAAGGCTGAGAAGGAGAGGTTGCCACAGACGGCCTCAAGGAACTGATCGGGAAACTGGTCATGGCAGGCCTGGAGCCAGCCTTGGGCGCCCGGTGCCCAGGAGACAGCATACCACACTGCTGTCTGGCAGATGGCAGCGGTGCTGGGAGGGGGTTGTGGGGTGGCTGGCCTGGCGTGCTGGCAGAGCAAGTGGATGGAGAAGTTGGAGATGCTGTAGGGGGGTGCCGGGCCTGAGTGGTTCTCGCAGAGGGCCTCCACAGAGATAGCTCGCCGCTGGCGAGGGCTGATGTGGGCAGCGGGCTGGGAAGCCCTGGGCAGAGGCACCCCCTTGCTCAGGCAGTGGAGGAGAGCAGGGGGTGGGGGTGGCGATCCAGACAGAAAGCCCAGCGCCTGGATGTCCCAGGAGAGGTTGTGCCGGACGCCCCTGGGTGCAGAGGGAGGAGCAGACAGGATCTGATCAGTTCATATTTCCTCTAGCTGAAGATGCTAACCCTGGCCCTGAGCCCTGCAGCAGAGCGTGTGGCAAGGTCTTTGGGAGTATGGTGACACTAGCTTAGATGGGGGGTGGGGGGGGACAGGATCGGCAAGCAAGCTATGTCCTCCCAAGGCGCCAAATGCCTCAGGAGCAGCCCAGATGAAGTCCCTTCTGTCCTCCTGGTCCCCTTCTTTCTCCTTCAAATGCTTTTAGATAGCTTAAACATAACCTCGGTTGGTCTCCTGTCAGGAAATCTGCCTAGCAACTGAATGTGTCGAATTGTCCTCTGGCACAGTTGGGGTTGGACCAAAATCATCAGGGGTTTAGGACTTGAGTCTTGTCCTTTCTCCATACCCCATCTATAGTAAAACAATACAATTGCCGTCGAGTAGATCCATCTTTACTAGCTGACGTTCACTAAGCACAGTGTGCCAGGCAGTATTCTACGTGGTTTGCTCATCTAGTCTCCACTCATTCATCCTTGCCACAACAGGGGCGAGGAGGCATGGAAAGAAGGTGTGGCGGTCCTGAGTCAAGGCCAGGAAGAGGGAGAGCGAGGACACCAACCCAGACAGCCCCACTCCACAACCACTGAACGCCCCTCTTCCCCCTAGTTTTTGATTCAGCTTGGGAGGCTGATGCCTTCCTGATTCCCCAGCCCCAATCCTTCCCAAAAGGTCCCCTGTAACTTACCAGAGCAGCAGCTGCTGGAGGTTAGCTGGGGGGGGAAAGTAAGGGAGATGACGGCCCTGATCCCATTCCTAGCCCGGCCACAACCCAGCCCCAGCACCGGCAGCACTCACCTCCCTGGCACTGCCCATTAGCATCAGGCTCTGGTTGTCCCAGGACGGAAAAGACCTCATCCTGCAGAGAGCGAGTGACACGGAGCAGCACCTCCTGGAAGGCAGCGTAGAGGGGAGCCCCCACCGTGCGTAGCAGACCACCCCAAAGAGCCTCCTCAGAGCCCAGCTCCTCGGTTGGTGTGAGCAAACCCAATAACCCCTGCAAAAAGTGAGGGGCTGGTTCCCTCCCATGGAGGTCTGTGGCATTGAGCAGGTCCACCCCGGGCTGCACCTGCACCAGTGCCTGCCAGCGTGTACCTTCCAACAACACCAGCAGAGAAGGGAGCCAGTCAGCCACCAGGACACAGTCAGAGGGTCCATCTCGGGTGCATGGTGGTCGAGTAGGGGCCGGGGGACCTCCAGGAATTAAGGCTCCCAAGAGCACTTCTGCGAGTCCGGCCAGCACACCGGCCTGGTGCCCCAGAAAGTCCCGGGGAGTCTGCTCCTGTCCCAGCAGGGCCAGCACATCCCCCAATAGCCCCAGCATTGGCTCCCAGTCCCGGCTGCCTCTCAGTGTCACTAGGAAGTCATGGAGCCGGAGGGCAGGGGGCTGGAGAGGTGGGGGCTCTCCCACTGGACCCTCCCCCATTCTCCCAAGCTCAAAGGATGTAGAAATATTGGCCAGGAATGTAGAGACCTGCGAGCGGCTGAGGGAACCCTGGGGTGCCTGATCCAGGGCCGAGAGCAATGACTTCAAGAGGGAGAGACCGGGGTCCAGGGACCGAGACCCCATAGGGGTCAGAGTCACTGTCAAGAAAGAAACCAGAAGTCATTGAAAGGGTAGAGTTTAGAGCCCCAGCCCTGAGATCCCCGTTCCCTGCCTGGATCTAAGGATGAGGTAAAGGAGCTGGTGAGCTGGGTCCTTTTCTCCCTTAGGACCAGCCTCTGCCCCTTTCCCTTGCCCCTTGATTTATTTTTTAAATTGAACCTGTTACCCTCTTTCCAGCACCCATCCGCTTCACCCCAGCTCTACTCCCTGCCCCTCTCACCTGCACAGGACAGCAGCAGCAGCAGGCCAGGCCAGGGGCTCGGAGCCATGTTTCCAGGGGAGCACCGGTGCTCGAGGTGGGTTCTGGTCATTCTCACCTTGCGTGGGCTACAGACAGGCTGAGACTCGGCTGACACTGCAGTGTGGTCTTTCAGGAAACAATACCTGTAATCCGACAGCAGGTTTGTCACCTGAGCCACTGACTATCTGATCCTTCGGCTTTAGAGAAAGGTGTGTTTCTGTGAGAGGAATCGGTGATAGGGGATCTCAGGGGGCCCTTGGAGGAACTCAAGAAGATAGCTTGCAGGAGGAGGCAGGGATGCAGAGGGGTAGGTGGACAGGGAATTGGAGAACTGGAACAGGGGCGTGATCTGGGCATCAGGAGAAAAATATGAGAAAGAAAACAAAGCGAGTACAAAGGTGCTAAGAAGCCATCAACACCGAACTGTAGGATTTAAGGGAAATGAAGATGAAAGGAAGCCAGGTCTAAATATAGCAAAGGAATGAAGACAGAGGTCTGGGACCAGAATGGAGCATTTGAGAAGAGATTTGGTTTCGACTCAGTACCCAGGACACCAAATGTTAGAGCTAGGGAGGACCCTGATCACATAAGTCAAAGCTCTCGTGTTCGGATGATGAAACAGACCCAGGGAGGTGTGGCTTGCTCCTTAGGCCATTCAAATGCTTGAGTTGCTCATTTGGTTCTCTTCCCTGTGGCCTAGATAAAAACACTGTGCAGGGAAGTCTGAGCCCAGAGAAAAGTTCCACCAGGAAGCTACTCCTCTTCCCTGCCCCCTTCTCCACCGCTCAGAACTGCTCAGATCTCAGAGGTGACTTTCAAAGCAATCTGGTCGGGTCAGAGTTGGAAGTCTTCTCTGTCCCCCATTTATCCTGACCCCGGTGCTAAATTGTCATTGAACACTGAGGCTCCAGTCAAGCCCCTCACTATTCCGCCCCTCTTGTCTTGGAATCTTCCTCATTCTGTCCCCGAGGTGCACACTGTCAACTTCACGAATGCACCTCGGTCCCGGGAGACGCTCCCAGGGCTATAGAATTTTCACGGTGGAAGAGACCTCAATAACTCTCTGCTAAACACTTGTGCTTTTATAGATACGGAGGAGGAAACTGTGACCCAAAGAAATGGAAGCACTTTGGCCAGGCCACACAAGGAACTGGGGCTAGTGCTGGGATTTCAAAGGTGAATCAAAGATTAGGACCAGTGATGTGACCGATGGCATCATTTTGCCAATATTGCCCATCGAAAGGTACCACATCGAGTCTGAAAAGCAAAGAGGAGAATGAGAGAATATGGCCTTTCTGGTTCCTGTTTCCAGTCCCACCTGCAATTCACCTGTATTTTTTCCCTTTGTTCTATGGCACCCCTCTTAGAGTTCTCCCCTTTTTGCTTAGAGTGTGGCAAAAATTTAAGATGACCCTGGGTTTAAATCCTTACTCCAACATTTATTGGCTGTGTGTCCTAGGGCAGTTCGAAAGCGCTCTGTGCCACCATGTCCTTTTCTGTAAAGGGAGAAACTCTTAGTACAGAGTTGTCAGGATCAGTGAATTTGTGTAAAGCACTTAGCGCCATGTCTGGTATTCATCCAACAAATAGTAAGCACCTCCCATGTGCCAAGGGAAGTCCTGGTGGAGTAGGGGGTTGCAAATTGGGCTGCTGACCACAAGGTCGGCAATTCAACCTCACCAGCAGCTCCTTGGAAGAAACATAAAGAAAGAGTTTCTACTCTGCAAAGATTTACAGCCGCCTGCCCCCCAGCCCCCCGCCACCTACCCAGGGGGATGAACAACAGAAACTGGGTGAAGGGAGACAGTGGTACATGTAAGATATGAAAACCATAATAATTTATAATTTATCAAAGGAAAAAAGAAGAGCTGATACCAAGGGCTCAAATATAAAGTAAATGTTTAGAAAGTGATGATGGCAACATGTGTACAAATATGCTGGATACAATTGATGTCTGGAATCTGAAAAGAGCTGTAAGAGCCCCAATAAAATGATAAAAAAAAAAAAAAAAGATTTACAGCCTCAGAAATCTACAGAGGCAGTTCTAGTCTGTCCAAAGGCTTGCTGAGTCAGAACAGACTGTCTGACAATAAGTTGCCTGGTTTTGCTTTTATCATGTGTCAGGCCCGGGTACAAAAGAAACATTTACTACATGTTAGCTATTGTTAATCGACATCAAAATTATTCTATCTGGGGGGAAAAAGTCGTAAATAATACAGAAATTGTTACCAAGAAGTAGCATCTTGAGTGAAAGACCTTTGGAACAAATGTGGAACTGGGGGGGAGCGGGGAGGGAGGGAGAAAAATGAGGACCTAATGCCGGGGGTTTAAGTGGAGAGAAAATGTTTTGAGAATGATGTACAAATGTGCTTTACACAATTGATGTGTGTCTAGATTGCGATAACAGTTGTATGAGCCCCTAATAAAAGGTTTAAAAAAACAAACAAATGTGGAACTGGTTGAGTCAAGCCCAGGGGGGAACAATGAGAGTTCCCATAATCCAGGAGGGGATGCTTCCTGGTAATCTACATTATGCTGCAGTAAGAGGTAAGTTAAGCAATTGCTAAGGGCTCATATTATGTGCCAACTGAGGAATACTAAAAGTGTTATCTAATGAAGTGAATCCCTTGTTGGATATTTGGGTCTAATTAGTGCAATGTCTTAAGGAATGAGGTGGAATGAAATCTAGGGATTCTCAGAGATTTTAAACCTATGGACATATAATTAATTTGTATAATAATTTAAAATTAAAATATATTTATATTCAATTTAAGAATACAGTTATATGGATAATTATGATACAGCAAATTGCTACAGATTTAATAACCCCATGTTGAATATAGAAAAAGTTACTATGCTAACACAGTAAATAGAAGCTAAACTGTGACAACATTTATCTTTCTTTTCCTTCATAGGAGCCCTGGTGGCATAGTGGTTAGATGTTGGGCTGTTAACCACCAGATCAGCAGTTCAAAACCGCCAGCAGCTCCTCCGAAGAACGAGGCTTTCTATTCCCAAAAGAGTTATAGTCTCAGAAACCCACAGCGGCAATTCTACCCTGTGCTAGGAGCCAGAATAAACTTGTTAGCATTGAGTTGGTTTTATGTTTTTGTCTCCTCTTATTTTTTTTGCATACTTTGTTATAATGAAACAAATGCTATTGTTCTTCTAAGTGAGAAAACATTAAGTTCTAGTATGGAATATGTGGGTTGTGCAAATAGTTAACATGTTCAAAAGGTTTGAGGTTTGAGTCCACTCCAAAGCACGTCAGAAGAGAGGCCTCATAATCGATTTCCCCAAAATCCCTTATTGAAAAGCCTCTAACAACAACAAAAGCCTCTAACACACACGGGACCAATGTGAGTCAGAATCACCTTAATGGCAACTGGTTTTATTGTACTTAAAGATATGTGATAACGAGAGAGCAAAACAAAAAATATGTGTAGAAATAAAATCTTTTTTTTTTTTTGGATTTTTTTTTTCTCGGTAATGCATTTATTTTTATTTTATTTTTTTCTCTTTTTTTAACATTTTATTAGGGGCTCATACAACTGTTATCCCAATCCATACACACATCAGTTGTGTAAAGCGCATTTG